CCGAGTAGAAAAATAAACTTGTGTAAAACATACAGTGAACAGCAGAAGTGGCTGATTAGAATCACAGCAGTTCTCCGTTTAGTTTCAGTGAGTTTTCACTGCTGGAATCCTTTGACATTTAAACTTCTGTTGTGTTTTACACACGGAAGCAAGAAGCTGTCTGAGTTCAGAGCAGAACTCAGTGAAAATGAGCTGTGTTTGACTGAATAATAATGAACTCTTGAATGTCACTGACAAGTAAAAACGACTCAAACATCCAGAAAGTGACGAACCTTCTTCAGTTTGAATCGTGTCGGTGTCTCAGACTTCAGCAGGAGAACAAACCAGAATGAAACCTTCAAATAAAGAGAACGCAGTGTGTCGGTGTGTGGATCGTGTCTGTTTTATCTCAGATCAACGTTTCACTTTCACATTTCTCTGCTTAAACAGCAGCAACGAGCCTCTAATCAAAGACTCAGCAAAGTTGAAGTGAATTCAAAAGTTCTTTAAAGTAGGAAATGTTTGTTAAGTTCAAGTGTTAAATCTTAATGCAGGTCATAGATGAAGTGTTGCTTGGATAGTTTAAAGAGAACATGTTGGTCTGGTTCCACCACATCAACACACCTTACAGAAATATGAAGGAGATCACATGATGCTGGAGTCTGATCACATTCCTGCACACGATCAGCTCCACCTGAGTGAACAACATTAAAACGCTGCTTCCACGCTGATGTGTGACACAAACACTGGACAACAAATAACTGGATCATTTCACGTGTACAGACACCACGTTGGCTTCCAGACATTTTGAAGCCAAAATAATCCCAGAAGAACAAAGGCAGTGGAGCAGGAGGGCACTAGGACCCAGAGACGAGGTGACAGCNATAGATGAAGTGTTGCTTGGATAGTTTAAAGAGAACATGTTGGTCTGGTTCCACCACATCAACACACCTTACAGAAATATGAAGGAGATCACATGATGCTGGAGTCTGATCACATTCCTGCAGACGATCAGCTCCACCTGAGTGAACAACATTAAAACGCTGCTTCCACGCTGATGTGTGACACAAACACTGGACAACAAATAACTGAAACATTTCACGTGTACAGACACCACGTTGGCTTCCAGACATTTTGAAGCCAAAATAATCCCAGAAGAACAAAGGCAGTGGAGCAGGAGGGCACTAGGACCCAGAGACGAGGTGACAGCAGCTCACCTGTCCAGATGCAGCACAGGTGTGTCCTCCTCATTCTGGCTCCTGTCATCGCTGCTGAACGCATGTTTCTGAGGTAAGTCCAGCAGACTTGTTGTTTTTATGGGATGTGTCTGGGTTTTTATACAGCTTCTTGTTTTATAAAGCAGCAGCTGGTCTGAGAGCATCTCTGTGACATTCAACTGTTTTCACCTCCAATTACTGACATGAGTTTGTGTCATGTTGAGTTGACAGTTAAAGCGCTGCTTGCTGTTTACATCCACCGTCGACTGCTTCCTTCACATTGTCTCGTGTCTGCTTAGTTGTTCAACCTTCAAGTTATTTTTAGAGCCTCAGGTTGTTGTTGCATGAGCAGCTGAAAGAGGAATTCAGCTGCTGACTTGATAAGAGTTCAGGTTTCCTGCCGCACTGTGGTGGTTTTTCTGTTGGAAAATTAGTTCAAGAGAGAATTAAGAATGACTGAACTTATACATGTCTGTATTTCCCATGTTGTCACAAAAGGAAGCAGTGTGTTTGAGGTGTGCCTGCGATCACAGTCCATCTTCCGGTCGCCATTTTCCTGCATGTGTCCTTCTTTTCAGACCACACTAACGTTGGTCAGTGTGGGTGCACAC